ATAAAATGAGACTGAACAAGTTCTCAAACAGAGATTTACTAGAGCACGCAGATTTTCTTTAATTGGAGTCTTTTGAAATCTTTTGAAATCTTTGCAAATCCTTAGAAATCTCTAGAAATCTTTGGAAATCTTTAGAAATCTTTCAGAACCTTAAAATCTTGAAATCTGCTTTTTCCCCCTTGGTGTGAGTGCGTGTGAATGTGGGTGTGAGTGGATGTGGGTGTCGATGTGGAGGTTGCTGTGTAGGTGTACATCTTGTTTTCATCCACACCCACACTCATACCCACTTACATCCACACCGACGCCCACATCCACACCCACACCTACACTCATACTTCACATCCATATCCGCACACGGATACTCACACGCACCCTTCACAATTTGATGACATGGTAAAATTTATACGGTCCGTGCTCTATATGGAGAAACCGTCTGTTCTTTTAGCCCCTCTAATGCCCTCCTCCCACTGTTATTAAAAGAGAATGTTTTTTTTGTGCGAAATTCAGTTTGAAATCGAAAAGTCTATAGACTGTTCCTTTCAGGGTGTGGGTGTGGGTGTGTGGGTAGGTGTGGGTGTGGGGTGTGAGTGTGGGTGTGGGTGGGTTTGGTGTGTGGGTGTGGGTGGCTGTGGGGTGTGGGTGTGGGTGGGTGTGGGTGGTGTGGGTGTGTGCGTGTGGATGTGGGAGTGGGTGTGGGTGTGAGTGCAGGGGTGACTCTTCAATTCAACAACACCTACACCCACACCCACGCCCACCCACACCCACCCACACCGACACCCACACCCCACACCCACACCCACACCCACACCTACACCCACCCACACCCACACCCACACCCATATATCAACAGATTGAACTCTAATAGGGCTGATTTTTTGAAAACGTATATTAGTCGGACTGCCCTACATAGCATAAAAGTTTCACTAGTTCTTGTCTTTCTTTTACATTTTTATGCCTGAAATACATGCCCGTGACGAAATAACCAAAAATGGACTATGGGTTTCAGTAGTATGTGAAGAACTAAAAATTTTAGATCATCTACAAGTGTGATTAAAAACCTTTCTATAGAAAAGTTGTAGCTGAGATGACGAGCTATACATAGAAAAAAAACAATTCAAAATATATGATAGCTTCATGTCACATGTAGAAAAAATTGTTCTGATGGAATAACGCTTTTAAAAATCTGCATAGTTTCATCCACGTTTATTTCTTCAGAAAGTTAATTGTAGATTTCCCCGAAATGATTAAATTGATAACATCTCTGAAAGAATAATTAAGAAAACGTCTCACATCATACTTTTGACAACGTAAAAATTATATAATGAAAACATGGATTTCGTATTTTTCTGACTTTGCCGAAATAGGTGAACCGTTACGTGGACAAGTCGGGATTTTGTTTTCCTTTTCCATATTATCCTAGACGTCATAATGAAACAACCTGCTTGAAGAAAATCCTTTTCCTTGTGTTATACGATAAGAATAATATTAGTTCCAGTTTAGGCGTAGATAACTGAATGGAAGTCCTGACTGGAAGCGAGGATCAATGGAGTTTAAGCATTCTACTGTTTTTTCTCACTAATTCCGAAAAAACAAGGTCAACTTTAACAAAAACTTTGCAATTAACTTCTTGACTCATCGACTCTCCTCCAATCTTAAGGATCTCGGGACACTCCTAGGTAGTTGAAGATACAGTGTTTCATTATTTGAAATTATTCGTTATACTATTTTAGCGATTGAAGATTATTTATGATATTAAGTTCAACAATGAAACAAGTTTCTACCTTGCAGAATATTTATAAGTAAAAAAATGAATAGAATTCTAATTTTATCATATTGAAGAGATCTTGTCAAATATTATCTAGTATATCCCAACCTTCATGCAAAAAACCATAATTATCGGACATGATTTTTTTTAGATGTAATTATCATTTTATGAATGCAATTTCTTCAATCTTATGTTCCTTGCGAATGAGTCAATATTTTAGCAACTTATTTAGTAAATTATTTATGAAACAAATGTTCTTTCATGGACAAAAAAATTTTAAGGACACTATCTAAAAACAAAATAATTACGCTTTGTGTTGCTATTTTAAAAAATTATATTATGACGTTCCATTATAAGTACTCAGTTTCTACCATTGAGAATGTGTGAATACTTTGTTGACGTTTTTCTCTTTTCATCATCACATATGATCTTTAAATAAACAGTACATACAATAGAACGAGAGTTTGGATAAAATGACAAAAGTCCTTATTTAATGCTTCGTAGGATAACTTATTACCAACGGTGGCAATTTTTAGATTACAGAGCTAAAGAATATAATTTAACATAGGCAGATTTTTAATAATGTATATTTACAAAATGCTTCATTAAATAGGATTCACTTCATTATAAATCTCCCCTTTTCGTCTATTAATAGATCTCACCGTAGGAGTATATGACTATTTCACTTGAAATTGTAATGAAATACATTTTCAGACAACTGCATATTGATTATTGATAAACAGAAATATATATTTATTTAAAAGCACGAACGACAACAACATTAATTACAATATTCATTTACAATATTCCAACAGATAGATCATGATTATTTAATGTAGACATTAGCAAAAACAAACGAACAACATTTAATGACAAAAAAAGAGTTTTTCAAATTTTTTTAATTATATTTTAGATAGTTCAACGTTTGGATATATCACGTGGTCTTATTCTAGTAATAGTAGCCATCGAAGGTTGAATTTGTGATACTTGATATTGTTGACATAAATATCGAGGTAATATGTCAATTAAACCTTTAACAAATGTTTTACGAAATATATGAGATGTTAATATTGAAAGATAAAATGATTTAACATTATTTATATAATAACAATTGTTCGTTAGAGAGAAGACAAAAAAAAGAACTGACCATTGTTCATAACTCCTCTTATAATCTGCAGTAAATGAAAAATATGTATACACAATAATCCATTGTAATGATAACAAAGCTGTTACAAAAACTTGAGCAAATGTCATTACAATGAACTGTTTTTGTAGACTTTTTCGTTGTGTTATTGTTACTCTACCCTACAATATACATTACAATTTTCTATATCAGAAAAGACAACACAAAACAGTTAATATACATACTACTCGTCGATGACTTTGATGTATATTTCTATAAGTAAGTAAAACAAATATTAACATTATTACTGGTTGCATGACACCACTGAGTATAGTATACAATATACTATTCAATTTTGGTTGTGTAGATATACACCAATATCCATACATAAGATCATAAAGAATTGGTGCATTACTCGAAATAAGACAACTTGAAATAATTATAATTGTGATCATCCATGGTACCATTTTAAGTTGATTGAGTCGACGTATTGACGATGTAAGTTTGCAAGTACAAGCAAATCGATCAATAATAGCCATAACCAAGAAATTAATGGATAAATGAGGAAGAAATACAAGAATAAAAACATTAAGTTTACATGTTATACGTGATGTATACCATGGTATATAAATATTATATTTTGCAGCAAGATAATTTGGAAATAAATTGAGAGAAAGATTTATTATATCAATGATTGAACCACAAAGTGAATAAATACAACAAGTATTAGAACGAAGTTCAGCTTGAAGATAAGTAAAAATATTTCCAATGAATCCAATAAAACCAAAGATAAGAAAGATAAGTGGAAGATAGATGATAAATCTTTCCGAAACAAGATTAAGATCGTTAACAATCGATTTCGATACTTGTGTAACATCAATACTATCTTCAATATTGTTCCATATCATGTTTATTGATAAACTAAGAAAAACTGAAAGTCCTATATGACGAATTTAAAATATTTGTTATACATAAGATGTTTTTTATGGTTAATAAGAATATCAAACGGTAGCAAAAGTGCGCATACGTAACAGTTATTCTCAAGAAAATAGAGAGACATAAATCTGAGAATCTGATTCAGAATTATGCTTTTTTTTCTGTAGAAGATATTAAATGAAATCAAACAGTTTCTAATTGAAACGTGACTGTTTTTTTTGGCATTAATTCACTTTAATTATAGTCGTCACGTTCATTGGTTTCATTAATACACGAAACACACGTTGAGAAAAAAATGTAACTAAAATAATTGAGTACCTAATTAGTCATGGATCATAAAGAATAATTTGTGTTTTAAGAAATAATGAAGCAACTACGATTATACAAAAATTTTTTGAATAAATTATTTGTGAACTACTTTTTTTTATATCTGCAACTTATACTGAATATTTAAGTTCAAGATGAAAACGTTAGTATCCACTCCTATGGTGTAATTTGTTATTAGCTTGATTGTGTCATTCATGGCTCTTTTCCTCACATAGAAATTCTTGTTTTGTCTTTTCAAGTATTTTTAGCAATAACAGCTTGGTGTCGTAATTCCAATTATCCTGGAAATGTTTTCTCTCGAAAGTCTGCCTGAAACAGATTCAAATGCCTGAACAAATCTGACAATGAATGAAAGAATGGCAGTTTACTATTTATTTTGGCTGTTCTAATTCATCAACGACATGTCTTGTCAATTAAGATCAAATTATTTGTTCTTTAAGATAACTAAACAACTCAATCAAAATAATAAAAAAACGTTGGAACGAGCATTCAAGTATTTCAATTAAAGTTTCAAATCGATAGGCTAACTCTATTCATGTCTCAGGAAACTAAACAAGAATGCAAAGCACTTTTCTTCTATGGATTTGATTCACTACAAAATTGTATTCGAATAAAGCAAGTACAAGCACTTATTAATAATTTTCATTTTAGGATCGGTTCGGAATTTTGCTATATTTAGTGAATAAATAAGACGTAAAAGTGTTATTGAGAACATATATAAAATACCTATCTCAGCCCTGATATTCTAATAAATTTTTTTTACAAAACTTGATGAAATGTGATTAAAAATGATCTGATATTGTTCAAATAATAATAATTACGAACAGTAATAACAAAAATAAAAGCTTTTCCTGTAATCCTTGCTGGATTGAAATATGAAACACAATGTTAGCAGTCAAACGGCTAATGGAATTGCTTACAAACAGATATTTTGATTGTCGAACAGAAAAAGCAGCTATCTTAAATTGAATCGTATTTCGTGATAATCCTCGAGCAAACTTTAGTTTTTGTGCCTATGTCTGCGATGGTAGTAACGGTAATTAAACATTGTTAAGGTGTCTATGAAAAAGAGTGAGAATTGCTTAGGAATGAGTTACGGTCTCGAAGAGAAGTGTAAATTTCTATCTCTGTAATTCAACATTCCTATTATGTCGTGTTTCACATAGTAATCGTTTGCTGCTATAAATTTATTTCATCTCTTCCATTGATCATTACACATATTGCTACAATCATCCAATAGAATAAAAGAAGTGAAGTTGTTATCGAAAGTAATACAAAATCAACACATTTGCTACTTATCAATGAATCAAAAGAACATTACAATCACTAAGAAAAATAAATATCAGTGTCACTACTGGTAGTAGCAATCCATTCATTAAATAAGTTCGCTAAACAAAAACCTATTGCCTCGAAAAATGTACATATTATGTTCAGTTTAAGACAGATCATAATAGACTTCTTAATTAAAGCAAGAAAATTAGTCATAATTGAAAAATTATTTTTTTCTCATAGTGTGTTCAATTTATAGAGACGATGAATCTTTGATGCCAGAGTGAATGAACAAGCAAATCTATTAATTATGGATATGATCCAAATATTAGCTTATCAGTTACATAAGCAAGCATAGAGAAAATCCAATAATCTATGTATGTATATGAGACAAGACATCATTGGAATTTGCAGTTCTATAGGTGGCAACAAGATAATCCGGCAAAACATTGTCTACGCTCAGACCTCACATCTATACTCACCCGAAAACGATTGTACTGGAACACACTAGAATGTACATGAGTAAAAATATCAAGCAGAAAGGAAAGGAAGAAAAAACATACTCGTATGATACTACCTAACAAACGATAAGAAGCTTTTCTAAATGATTAAAAAATATATTACTGACGCCTTTATTTTGATAAATATATTCGAACGCATTTATTCATCGCCGCGAAGTAAATGGTTAAAGTGTGAACTGAAAACCCTATGTGTTTCCATGTTGTAAGACGGAAAAAACGCTAATCTCATGCATTATAACGTTCTTATTGCCATTTTCTGTTTTTTATCATGGTAAATGATGATAATTAAAGAAAGTAATGAATTTTGTTTTCTTTCGGATATCATTGTGAAAAAACCTACTTGAAGAAAATCCTTCTCTGTGTATTATAGGATGAAATTTGTTTGCCTTTTTCAACAGCAAGAATATCCTATTTATAAATGCAATAAGATACTATTTTATCAATATGTTTTACCATAAAAATAACATTAGTTTAGTTTTAGATAATTGCAGGGAAGTTCTAACTGGGCACAAGGATCAACTGAGTTCGAGCATCCTATTGTTTTTTTTTCTCATCAATTCCGAAAAATCCCGATCAGCTTTAGGAAAGCATTTTCCAATTAACTCTTAAGTCATCAACCATTCTCCAACCATGACGATCTCGAGACAATCCTAGATAGCAGAAGATACAGTGTTTTATCATTTGAAATATTTATAAGTGAACAAAATAGAACCGAATTCTGATTTGATTATATTGAGAGAGGTCTTGCCTTACTATTCTCTAGAACTTATATCACAACCTTGATGCAGAAAATCATAATTATCGAATATGATTGCAAAATTCAATTAACATGATATGAATGTAACTTCTTCAATCCTGTGGCACTTTCGAATCAGTTAGTATTTTAGTGGACAATTTAGTAAAACATTTATGAAATAAACTATCTTTCATGGACAAAAAACTTCGCATAACGCTATTTAAAAGCAAAATAATTAGACCTTCTGTTTCTATGTTAAAGCATTATTCGACTTTTATTATTACAGTTTTATATCGAGTCTTTAAGTCCAAAGAAAGAAGCTTACGATATTTCCATTTAAGTACTATGACGAATCATTATAATTACTCAATTTCAATTAACATGTTTCTTTTTTCATCCTCACATGTAATCTTTAAATGAAGACTAGGTACAATAGACCGCAAGTTTTGATGCAACGACAAAAGCTCTTATTTAATGCTTCGTAGGATAACTTATTACCAACGGTGGCAATTTTTAGATTACAGAGCTAAAGAATATAATTTAACATAGGCAGATTTTTAATAATGTATATTTACAAAATGCTTCATTAAATAGGATTCACTTCATTATAAATCTCCCCTTTTCGTCTATTAATAGATCTCACCGTAGGAGTATATGACTATTTCACTTGAAATTGTAATGAAATACATTTTCAGACAACTGCATATTGATTATTGATAAACAGAAATATATATTTATTTAAAAGCACGAACAACAACAACATTAATTACAATATTCATTTACAATATTCCAACAGATAGATCATGATTATTTAATGTAGATATTAGCAAAAACAAACGAACAACATTTAATGACAAAAAAGAGTTTTTCAAATTTTTTTAATTATATTTTAGATAGTTCACCGTTTGGATATATCACGTGGTCTTATTCTAGTAATAGTAGCCATCGAAGGTTGAATTTGTGATACTTGATATTGTTGACATAAATATCGAGGTAATATGTCAATTAAACCTTTAACAAATGTTTTACGAAATATATGAGATGTTAATATTGAAAGATAAAATGATTTAACATTATTTATATAATAACAATTGTTCGTTAGAGAG